TTATTCCACATTCCTTTTGCGACTCGGCACTACTTACTAATAAATTCATTTTTGTCATTCCCAGAAATGCAGCAAGCAACTACTTAGTTGCACGTGCCAAATAATATATCTATGTATATGAAAACCAGAGAGCTCGGTAGGAGGATATACCCAAATTATTAGAAATGTGTCAAAATTAATTTGAATTTGTATTCTGTTGTCTTAAAATGGGCCTTCTCATCGTCGGATTTTATCGGATAGACGACGCCCGATAAGCTCCTCCTGTCGCCGGTTGGCTGGAAAAAAACTTACAAACAACTACAGAGAGGACTGACTCCGGACCCCAGCTCCATGATTTTTGCTTGCTCTGCGACAATATTTGAAGCGTGTCATGGAATATTCCATGAATCTGTGCTGAGAACTTGGCTGAATGTTGACGGGGCAGCAATAACAACATCACGACACATCCCTTGGCCTCAGATTTGTGCGAGTTCAAATATTGTCAGCCGTGATTGTCTGAAAGGGGGTGGCTGGCGGGATATTGGATGCCTACATATGTTTCTATTGGCGGCGGAGCGATGTGACGTCACCGACGGAGACGGGTTAGCTGTCAGCGATAAGTCGTGAGCCTATAACACAGCGACTGTGAGATGCTCTGAGACTTAATTAAAAAAATCTTCCCAGAAGCCAGAAACTTATCATTTTAAAGATTTTTTTAGTAACTTGAAAACAAAACTCTTAAAAAAAAGTTAAAGAAACCTTGTTACTCAAATTTTGTTGCCAAGAAGCCAGAACATCCTCCTGTTCAACGGGTAGTATCTGAAGACGGAGACAGTCAGCCTGACGGCATATTTATGAGCCCATTTCCACAACAAATCCCTGACGAGTTTCGTAGATAAAAAACACTGTAAGCTGCGTGAGAAAGGCACAGTTCTATACTACGTAGGAGCGAGCACAAATGGAATAACTTTCTTCCCGTCAACGTGTACTTTAAATATTATTTTAGAAATTCGAGAAAAACACAACTCGTGTAGGAACTGACTCTGTTTACAGGCAAAATATATTAAATCATATTGTTAGATGTTCTAGTGCCCCATCTGTGATAACGAGTCGGCCTGATAAGGCCCTCATATATTTACATATTATAACGTGGCCTGACTTTGACTAAGTCTGCAGATTGAATTTTAGTGGTAGTTCGTCGCGAAAAACAAACCACTCAACATGGTGGGACTGCAGCTGTCATAAACACATCCCCGATCATGTTTTTCGGGGAAGTGTCTGGTGTCTGGGGAGCCAAAAATTGAACGGGAAACGGAACCTACTCGAACATAAATCTATGGCCATATCAGACACCCGTGTTTGTTCTGACCGCTCAAGGGTGTGTGCAGCCGAGTCATTGCACCCCAATCATTCAAGTTCACATGCAAATTGGATAAATCCGCCAATCGCTTAGATTTATGACAGAAAACAGGCCGCATCAGCGGCTGATTGATATTTAATTCTTGCCGAACACCTCCGACAGTTGGGTTAACTTCCGTGAGGTTCATTGACACACCGTTTAGATTATCTTTTCGGTCGTTAGTTTTCCAGTCGGCGACCTGTCTTGGGATAGCATCTTGGGGCACTGACGTGTCAAGTCGGGGGATCGAGAAAAGGCAGTATATTGTCGCAGACCAAAAATGATTTCCTCTTGCCTAATCGACAAATTTGCTTAAGATGACAGCAGCCTGTCCACCCACACAGTCTTTTCTGCTCTTCACCTGGCTCTCGACAGTTTTTAGCGTTTAAATCCAATTTATTTTTTTTGGCTTGCTTAGCCATCTTGTGTTGGGAAACAAGAAGGGGGGATCTCGAAATCTGTGCCTCTGTGCCAAACATTCTGAATATGTTCTAATGACATTTGGCATTTTTTTTGTTGGTTTATTTTATTTTGTTTTGTCATATTCTTACTCAGCCAGTTTAGGAGGACAAAAATGGATTTTTAATATTGTTTAAGTTTTATTTAATTATACAGCTATTCAAATTAATATTTTTATGGCTTCACACCACGGAAGCAAGTTGACATTTTGGGTAATGATTGGTGAGGTAACCCACGGCGGGAAAATAATAAAAAAAAAGCAGTTGCTACACTACAAGAAAATCAAATAAAAATGAGATGTGTTTTAATTATCCTAACAACTCTTGTGCACTTTTGTGACAGTCGATTGGAGTCAAGGGCACTTCTCACTGCCTCTCAATTACTTGAGTTAAGCTCAGATGGAAAGACCATGCATCTAATTAAAAAAATAGCTAATATAAATGCTAATTCAATCTCTGATATTTTAGTCAATTTGTTCACACCGTTGTCGCGTTTAAAACTGGATATCTATTTTCGGACCACAATTGGCGAACAAGAGAAGTCTCTTTTTTATGTACGTCTACCGGTTGACTGATGTATAGAAATGTCAGAGGCCTTACCGAGGAAAATTTAACGCACCATGGAGCGAGAAGCGCAGTGAATCATAAAATAAATAAATAAGTGCGACGCTCGCAGTGACCGATTTGCTGAGGGACAGCTACGCATCCGCCAGATAGATACCCGGTCTCGGTTTGGGGTCTCGGTCTCCAGTTCGGTGGGGCATTTGATTTTGTTTATGTTGGTGCCGCCGTACAGCCGCATTTTTCTGCTGAAATACCAAACAGACGTATCGTTGTCACCGCATTGCTGCAGAAATTAGCGTGCCTATATGGAATATCAGTCGCACTTATCACATGGCAGACCCGCCAGCCGGCTGTCTTGAGTGGACTTGGACTTGCCCAGAGCACCGGGAGGTGTGAGTCAGGTGTTGAGGTAAGACACGGCTCTTTGATACTGTACACGGTGCCAAACGATTAGTCACGCGATTGGCCCCTTCACTGCATCGCCCATACGCCCCGTTGGCCCGTAAGCCCATATGTCCAAAGCCTAATGCCACCAAATACGATCTATCCGATTGTTTGATCTCAGTGGTCGAGTTCTAAGTAGCAAACCCGTTGGCACTCGAACTCGTACCAATCACCGACTCCCATATAGAGAAGGCATCCTCTCCTCCGCCTCGTGGATTGCCCACAATTGTGACATTCAAATGGTTTCTACAATTTACGGAGCCGGTACAATTCATTTCCATTTTGAAATGAAACACGCGATTGCCACAATCAGACCAAACAAAAAATTCTATATTTTTTATTCAGATGCTTCGTTTAGGTTTATGAATCAATTAAAAGAACGGGCATGGGTGCTGAATGAAATGGTGAATTTGTGCGCCTCTTGGTCTGGTTAAGTGTTTGTTCGTGTTCTAGAGCTCTTGTCGTAGAACTCGTCGAAGAAGGTTGGATCGATAAATTCACTCGAAAAGTTGTGCGAATAGCTCTGGTATCTAATAATCGCAGAACAGCCCCCGATGTGGTGTCTCCCCAAAGATCTGTGTGGGTAAATTCGAACCAATTGAACTGCCCGCAGTAAAAAGTCATAATAATTAATTCTTTTAAGACACATAATCTTTTATTTGAATAGTTTCTTGCTTTTTGTTGTTTGGTATGGTTTTTTGTATTTTTCTTTTAATTTTTTATTAATTTTTTTTTTTCTTTTTTTTTGAATTTATTAGCAGCATAGCTAGAAAATACCGATTTAGACTCGCGGTAGCCAGTTAGAGGGACTGTTAATTTTCATCAGAGTTGCATTTTGGGTTTGTGTTTCATTTTCATTTTCATTTTCATTTCGGATTAAAAGCTAATTTGTCACATTGAACTTTGAATTGGTTTTACATTTGCTTTGCGTTTACAATAAATGGTTTAGCGAATGACAGTTGAATAGACTTGAAAAAATATCACTATTTAGTAATGTATACATATATAAGCATGTATAATCGTGTATATATATATATATATTTATAGTAAAACTACTAATACATATTTTAAGTTATTTTTAATGCATTTCGAAATTACATTCTTCTCTTCCCCATCCCCCTTGCTCTCAACATCACAATAATTGGTTTTGAAATATTTTCCTTGTCCGACACAGATGCATAAATATTTATAGATACATATGTATCTCCTATGCACACACTCTGTAAAATATAAACTTTTTAGAAATATAAATTCGAGGTTGGCTTTGTTGTTTTTTTTGTGAGTGGTGTGTCTCTTTCGGTTTCTTTTGCGACTTTGTGTCCAAAGGGCTAGGAAAAGCTACGGAAAGGAAAATCAAAAGCAGGGCAAGGGAGAACCTAAAGTATAAAGCTTTCTGGCCTGGAGCAGCGAAATGAGACAAATGCCAGGGCCAGGGCTTGCATAATGCATGATGGCTCTGGCTTTTGACCTATTGCCGCCGTCCGTATCGCACTTTAAATTAAATCTAATGAGGTATTTAGCTGCACGCAACGCCCGGAGTTCTACGAAAGCAAATTGACTTTACGGCCTGCTCAAGAGAAGTGCGCCCGTTGGCTAACTCACTGACTGAGACGGCTAAATGACTTCTGACCAACTATGAGCGGCCCGTGCACTGGCTGACGCGTTTTCAATGTGAAAATGCGGCCTGCACGGGCCGTTCCAGTTGGCCAAAATGGTTCGAAAAGCACTGCCCGGCACTAAGTGCTCGGATTTCTTTTGTTTTTTTGGGGTTCTTTAGGTCTACTCGGCTACTTAGGCTCTAGAATACACATATGCTTTGCACATTTACTTAATTAACGTATGAATTGAATGTTTAGCGTTTCGTCTTCTTTGCATTTTCTCCTCTAGCCAGAATGTTTTTGGAGTTAAAGCTTTTCGGTGTGGATGTCTAATAAATATGTATATATAGGTGTGTGTATCTACAGGGTGCAATTGCCTAGAACTGCATTACAATAAATAATAAATTAGTTTGGAGCTCGAAATAACTGTGCTGTCTTTGCTATTTTGTGGCGATCATTATCGATTTGAGTAAAAACATTAAATGTTCATATGTTTGTTTGTTGCTTAGGTACATTGATTACGATCTCGACTTGGCTTGGTTCCACTTTGCAGTTTGATATCCAGCATAAGAATATTTATCCCTACTCTCTCTCGGTTTGTTAATTTGACTTGTACACAATTGTTGCTATTTGTTTTGTTTTCGTTAAGGTACTTGTTATGTTTTTATGTTATTTTTTCCATTTTTTTAATATTAAAAGCATCTCAAACTATTTGGTTTGACTACGTTTGTGTTTTTCTTTTGTTTTTGGCATGAGAAGCTTCTAGGACAGCAAGATCTGGTCTTAAAACTCAAAATTCAAGCCCTTGTCTTTGTTAAACATTTAACTTACAAATTACGAATACTGTTTTATAGAATTCTTCAGCAAGCGAGTTTAGTTTAGTTTACTTTAACTGTAACTGTTTCTGTTTCTGATTATGTTTAAAACTCTAAACAATAACCCCCTAGACCTCTGTGGGCAAGCTTTGGCCCTGACAGCTCGTCTGCAGCTTCTTGGAGCCGCGGAAGAACATGTCAAAGAGTCTGCCCCGCCGGCTCTGGAACTTTTGTGGCATCGTCGGCGTAATAGCGATGTGCTCCACAATGGTGATGCCCCGTTGCAGCTTGGGTCGTTGCGGTCGGACGGGTGGTACAGTAGTGAGTGGTGGTGGTGAAGACGGTGGCGGGTCTTCGGACTCCGCCGAGCCCTTGGTGGCTCCAAAGTTAATGATGGTACTGCAACTGCTGTTGGGCCTCAGGGTGAGGGTGGTGTGCACTGGCACTTGACTAACCAAGGAGCTCTGAGGCGTCAGGTAGCGACAGCTGTTGCTGCTGTACTGCGACAATTTGCTGCTGTTGCGCTGCAGCTGGGCAGCTCCACTGCCAGGCGTTGCTCCTCCCCCACCGTTGTTCTTCACACTGCTGCTGCAGTGGCGCTGCAATCCCGACGAAGACTCTAGTCCGCATAGGCGCTTCACTCCCCGCCGCACTCTCTTGTTGCGGTAGGCGAAGATGAACGGCGAGCTGACGTTGGCCAGAAGGATCATGAAGATGGCCAGCTGCGAGGATCCGCCAAAGTTGGCAGCCGACAGGCGCGACTGGAGCAGGACTAGCAAGCCAAAGGGCAAGTAGGAGACAACAAACATGACCACTACCAGGATGCTAATCCTGGCTGCCCGCGACTCCTCCCGATACTTGAAGAGCGAGCTGGCATTGCTCAGTCGATGGCGCAGAGAGCTCATGTAGCTCAGGGCCTTCGGGGAGGCGTGGATGGCGGGTATTTGCAGGGCGTGGTGGCGCGGGGAGCTGAAGTGCGGGTGGTGGGGCGATGGTGTGGAATGGTGGTGCTGCAGTTGATGGTGGTGGTGCTGCTGCTGGGGCTGGTTGTTTTGCTGCGACTGCTGGTGCTGCAACTGTTGCTGCCTCTGTTCGTGGCCCAAAAGATGCGGCGACCCGCACTCCTCGCTCAACGAGTCCTGCCTCAACTCCGTGTACTTGTGCAGGTTGGGGGAGCTGTGCACCTGGCGGATGCCTTGCAGGCGGTGGGCCTCCCTCAGGTCCTGGGAGGATGTGCCCAACAGGGGCAACTGACGCGCCGAATAGTTGCGCTTGATCTCCCCACTGGCTGTTTGCAGGGTCAGCAGAATATTCTGATTCCTGTCCTGCTCCGGTACGGGCATCAACTGATCTCCCGCTGCGCTCTCCGCATCAGCATCTGAGCCCCCGTCATCGGAAATGGTGGGCAGGAGAACCTTGGCTGCCGAATCGCGACGCAAGCAACTGGGCGAGCTCCTGGGCTGCTGACGCTGATCGATCTGCATCTGCAGGCCACCAATACCAATGCCCATACTGTTGGTTCCTCCATGGGAGCTGGCCGAGGAGATGGAATGGCGATGGACACACAGGCTATTGGAGAACTGGCTGGCCTGGGCCGCCTGCTGACCGGCGTTCAAGTTGAGGGCACTCTGCAGAAGCGGCGACGAGCCATTCTGACGCATGCGTAGCCCATTGCCCCGAGCCTCGCTGAATATCCTCCAGTACATGCCGCACACGAAGCCAAAGGGCAGGAGGATAATGACGATGAAATATATACTGGCATAGACCACTCCAAAGATGCTGTTGGTGCTGCTGATATTGAAGTAGGTGGCTGCCAGTCGGCGTTGCCGGCTCAACAAGGTGTCGGCCTCAAAGTCAAGGACCCGAAAGGCTGACAGAGCTCCAAACAGGATACCCACTGCCCAGGTGAGGGCGATAAAAATCCAGGTCTTCACCCCGGATATCCGGCTGTGATAGCGCAGAGGATCGGTAACGGCACACCAGGTATCACCCACTACCAGGAGCACGGCCAGTGCTCCTAGGGCAGCCGTCATATCGATGGACCAGCATCGCAGCTGGACAGGAGGCAGCAAAGGAGCTGTAGTTGGTTCCCCGTCGAACACCGAGAGATTCTCCTCATGAGTTTCCGTCTCGGTAATTACAATGCCACCATCCTGGCGCTCGTCGATTGTCAGCTCTCGGCAATAGGTTTCATTGCACTTGAAGAAGGTCTCCACGACCTCGCCGGTTTCGCTGGTGTTGCGGTGCACCACCACACCGTCCTGCTCCACGACATGTCCATTTTTCAGAAATGTGATCTGATGGTTGCCGGGCTTCGAGTAGACCTCCACAGAGTCAGCTACGGCGATAGGGGATTCACCCGACTTGGAGGGCAGGCCCAGGAATAGGGTGGGGGCCAAGATGCAGCAACCAATCAGATTAATGGCCAGGAGGTTGATGGTGAACCGATTGGCGGTGGTGCGGAGACCGGGGGTGATCCAGAAGGCACACAGCGCCAGCAGGTTGATCAGGAACGAGACGAGCAGCAGGGCCAGGATCAGGAGGTCTATGGCCATTCTTTATGCTGTTTTTCTGCTGCCACACATCACTTTACAGTTTCACAGTCACTGTGCGCTCTTATAAGTTTGGTTTTGTTTCTTTACGCTTATTTTTTGGCTTTTGGCTTTGCTTATGACACAAATTTCACTCGGTATATCCGCTGTCTCAACTCTTCACATTTGCAGCCAATTTTTGGGTTTTGTTATATATTTTTTACTGTTTGGCTTGTTTCTTGCGAACGCTTGCTAATTTACGTGCGATATTTTGTGTTTTTGAAAACAATTTCTTTTTCACTTGTCAATTGTTTGGGTTTGGGGTTTTTTGTTTTTCACGATTTTCGGATTCATATATATTCAATTCTTTTTTTTCGCGCCGATCGACGAGCACGATCTTTACTCCGAAGCGTTCCAAGCACAACTGTGCGCGATCCCCACTCGGGCTCCAAATATACGCGAACCGTTCACGAGCTGCTCGAACGGGTGCGAGGCAGATGGAACAACGCCGGCCCCGAGCGCCAAGAGCGAGAAGAGAGCGCTGAGAAGCGAGCTATTGCTGCCGTACTAGCAATGATTATTGCATGTATTAATGTTGCCGATGTTGCTGCTGTTGCTGCTGTTGCTGGTGTTGGTGTTGCTGCCTCAGTTGATGTTGTGTGATTTGCAATTCCCACGCTCCGACTTTGAATTTATGCTGCTGCAAGCTCGTTCTCTGTTGCCAGCCGGTCTTTATCAGTGTTGCTGCTGCTGTTGCTGTTGCTGCTACCTTGTATCTGTTGTTGCTGTTGTCCTAGTTCAGTGCGGCAGCAACACAAATTGTATAATAATTTTTAGTTTTTTCTTTTTTTCTCTCTCTTTTTTTCTGCAATAGCAAATTGCCGCTTCACTTTTGCTCTGGATTACATCACAAGCTCAATGCTATTGTTGTTGCTACTACTACGGCGGCTGTTGTTACTTTTCCATTTTCCAAGCCTCATTTTCTTCTGGCTTCTGCACAACATCAAAAAAATGTGCAACGGCCACGCGCTCTATTTTCTTAGCCATAAAAATTGCATTTTTATTAGACCCACTGCCGTAGAAAATAAACAAAAACAAGGGTTTTTCGTTTTGTACCCCAGTCCAGCTGATGAAATTCTCAACATGGGGGCCGGCTGCAAGTAGAAGAAAGAGAGAGTGTGTACTAGTTAGAAAGAGATAGCAAATGGGAGATATGTCCGTGAGATAAGGCCCTGCCATTATTGTTGTTTTGATTGTGAAATTAAAAACAAATACTACAAGCTGGACCAAGATGAGACGGCACTTTTAATATCCATGCCGACTGCCCCCCAAAAACTTGTTCCGCAGTGACTCAGAAAAAATAACAACTTCGTTTCTGAATATATATTTAATAATGGCACGCTCCTGGCACGCATTTGTAGTACTTCTTATCAGCAATGGGACGATAAGGCGGTAATCCACTTATTTCACCAGCCCAGATAGAGGCAATAGATACCTTCAATTTGCAAACCTAAAACCATCTAGAAGACATGCTTAAACCTCATGAGCCCCTTGACCGTAACTGTTACTTTATTTATATTGCTTTCAACTACGCATTATCCCCCACAATCGGCACACAAACCGCTTTGATCAGTCGCTTACAACATGACCGGAGTGTCGAGACTTCAATGAGCTCATCGCAGTCATTTTCTTCCCTATAGATACATTGACATTGCGGCATTTAGCCAAAAATGATCATCTGAATTCTATGGAACATACGAGTGGCATCTTTTATTCGAACACGCGACCAGCTACTGGGAAAAATCAACATAGACCATTTTCTTCTGGGCGATTTTAAATTATACACATACATATATATGTACAATATAGATGAGTATTTTTTGTGTGTTTTTGGTGTCAGGCCTGAGCGCAGTTTGCATGCCCTACTTATGCCAAGAGGCAGATATACATTTATTAATAGCAACGATGCCACCAGCCAACGAGTCATGAAAATGCCAGAAGATGCTAAATGAATGATTGCCGATAAAGATGGTGAATTTAATTCGCTGATTTGCCAGCAAAAATCACAGCACCGTGACTTATTGAGATAATCGGAATATGATTTATGAAATCCAATTACGCAATGTTTTCATTAATCTGATAAGGCCATCATTTAGTGTATATATTTGTGGTATTTTTAACTCAATTTAAAAACACAACGATTAACAAAGAAAGAGGGATTTTATCAGTATCCATAGTCTACTGAAGTTCTTCAATTTTAAGATTTTATAAAACTCATTAAATTTTATACCCAATACCCTACTACTATCCGAGTTTCCGCCCCTAAAAAGGGCATTATCACCTCGCTTGAAGATCGATCAATGTCCGCCGCCTTTCGATCCCCCAGACACCCAAGCAAACCATCCATCTACAGCGTGTGACGTTGAGTCAATAGAACGTCTGGCTAAATTATATTTACTTTGGCCCGATCCAAAGATCTCTCAGTGGCACTATCTATGGCATTTTAAAGTGTGAAAGTGATCTTTTAGCGGCATCTTAGGGGTGTGAATTTTGCGCTCGTTTTCACGCTTTGCCCGTCAAAAAGGGCTTTCAGAAAGTACATTGTAAATCATGACAGTATTCCCATTCTCTGTTCTGCTATCTGCTTTGGAGGAAGTACAGCTTTGATAGTTTCGTGATTATTTATTGATAGGCCAACACAAAAGAAAATTCACACTTGATCAAATACGAGTGCATGAGCTGATAATACCCATATAGACACTGATTGCCCGGTTCGGGTTTCGAGTTTAAAATGGAAACGCAGTTCACAAAGTGAGAGCTTCCGTTTGTGTGCAGATTCTGAGAGAATTTCTAAGAATTTGATTTATTCCATGGGGTCGACAATATCCGCAACTGCAGATCAAAGTCGCTTTGCCGTTTCACACATGCTTTTAATTTATACTCTTGATGAGGTCTTTGTCGAGACGTTCAAGGGTTGTCACAAAGAAAATTATAGTTTTTCTTTTTTTGAAACTTTGACCTATTATGTCTTCTCTTTACATTATTAAAGAAAAAAGATAATTGTCTAACCAAGAACTTTTTGTATAAGAGTATTTGCGAGTTCGCCCTAATGCACTTTACTTAGCCCTATTGCAAACACTTATTTTTTATGGCCAACGACAATTGCATTGAGATTTGTCTGAACAAGTGTTTACTTTACAGTCTGGGGGTGGTTGCTTTTGCTATAAATCCGAGTATCTGAGTGTTTGAGCGCTTGTGTATCTTAGCAGCTGGCTCCCCTCTCGAGGCTTGGTGTCTGGTGAGCAGGTTAGCAATTTGCACCGGCTGGTGAATGCGCTCATTTGCATGACTTGGCAGGAATCCCAAAATCGATCGCACCATTAAGATAACCCGAAGGCGTGAGTAAACTGGGCGTTAGTTATAACGCTCCTCCGACAACAAAAATAAAATGAAACCAAAACCGAAAACAAAGTGCCGGTGGAAAAATTTATATGTTAATGTCAGACTTATTCACCGCTGACCGTCTTGACAGTTGGCCAATTGTGGAGGCTGGTCCCTCTCGGCCATTCCATCTGAGGGGACTCACAGAGCACGTGATCTGGATTAATCGGCCGATCAATGCGAACCTCAAGAATAACGACTCAGTGCTTCGGATAAAGTCCCATCGGCGTGATTCCCAAGCCAGCACAAAGAAGCGAGTCAAATGAGCCAGTCTATGCTAAAGCCGGTTTTTTACCGCTTTTAAGCCAAGCTACTCCAACCCGATGTGACGTCACTTTTGACGTTGGCCTTTTGTATGAGATTCGAATGCTCGAATCTGAAAATATTTACATACAGAGTTTTTGCATTCGGCTTTAAACTGCACCCTGCCCCCAGCTTCGCTCGTCGTTCACATGTTTATCGGTGAAATTAAAGCACTTAAGCCCCATAAATAAAGTTCAAATTAATGATTTTTAACCCATATTTGATTCTTATGAATGGCTGGAATGGGGGTGAATACACTCGAAAAACTATATGGGTGTTCACTTTTATAACTAGATGAAAATATACTTTATTTGTTCATAGAGAAAATATTGGAAGTCAGTAAAAAGTATACATAAATGTTCAAGCACCAATTTTTGTTTCTGTGTAACACGTGTATGCATTCCCCTGCAGCCCAAAAATGGGCAACAGTTTCGATAGGGACTGAGGCAAAGTCCATTAATTGACCGGGCTATATGCAGTCGAATCGTATACTTTTGGTCATGTCCTTGAGCTGCTTTAATGCCCATCAAGTCCGGCCAATGATGACATGCCATTTTGTCCCGGCTGCATCGAGTTGGCTGATTGCATTGGCAAATGGGAATAATTATCTGAAACCAATTTCAGTTAGGCCCATGGCCTTTAGGCCAGGTAAAGGCCTGATAAGAACTCTGGGGCAGTGCACGGACTGTCAGGGCTTACGGCCAAATGCAATGGCCAACATTGCAGTTGTTAGTCCTACTGGCATATTCCCTTTGCATACCTTACAAGTGACTGTGTCCATAAAAGTCTAAAAAAGCTGACTACATTTTGCCCAATTTTGACATGCTTGTATCTATTAGTTGGTGACACATTTACTTAAGTTTATAAATAGAAAACTCATCAGCTTCCGGATATTTTGTTTTGTTCGAAAATATTAGCTAATTTTAAACTAATATATATCAATTGTTTGAACTGATTTCCGGTAGAATAGGACCAGCCGCCCTAAAGGCGCTAATTTGTTTCGCACTTAGGTAAGATTTCTGTAGGCTCTGACAATAAATAGATAGTTTTGTAATATATTTAAGACCGACTAAATTTGCTAAATGACAGCAGAACCACACCCTCTCCTTGTTGAACTTGGATCGGGACAGGTGAGACAGGTGGCATGACGAAGGGTCTTAAATATATTTATTGTATAATGCAGAATATTGGCTGTTTCCGTTACATGATAAGATTACGACCAAAGTAAACTGTTTTGATAGACAATCAACTGAGAGCTAAAAGCTGAGAGCTGAGAGCTAAGAGCTACAAGCTGTGAGCTAAGCCAGGCTCCACAAAATCCGATTCAATTAGCCCTACTAACCAGCAGATTTTGCTTTTTCCCCTAGCTGATGCGATTATGCGAATATATAGAGGGCTATATGTATACAGATATTCGCTTTCTTTTATCCGCTTATAATTGAATCAAATGCGGCAAAGGGAATGGCGAAAGCGAAAGCAAAAAAGCAAATATTGGCACAACTTTTTATCTGAGGGATGTAACTTTGTTGTGGCCCACAGATTTTTCCCCTCATCCCGGGGAATTGGTGCTGCTAGGCCGAGGGCTTACCCTGCATTCCGAGAGTATCAGTGGCCATAAGTATCATAAAGTTTCCGTAACAAAAAAAAAAAACAAAACAGACACTCACACCGTTTCCATAACAAATTGAAGTTGCACTCAAAGCCCATTGGCTGTGAACTTTTCCATACATGAATATCTGGCCATAAAAATATATTGTTTTTGCGGTCGGCTTTTGTGGTTGGCGAAATGCAAATGAATGAAGAATACTGTTTAATTGTAGCTCGTGTTTTCGAACATGACCAGCGCAAAAACTGCGATACAGCAGCTCGCATCGAAAACAAACACTCCATTATGGCCACTCACTTTTTTTTATTAGTTCTAGTAGAAAACTTTTCCATTAACTCGTTAACTTTCTGTGTACCAACAATAGGCCGACAA